GGAAGCGTCGCTTCCATCTTTACCCGCATCTTCTTCCTCTTGGGTGTTTTCTTCGCTGTCTAACAAGCCGTTGCCCTCAGCAGTAGAGGAAGCTGGTTGGGACGATCCATTTTTATCTCCCGGGGAGCTGATTTGATTACCCTCCTCCTGGTTCTCGCCATCGCTGCTCGGGTTCTGGACGTTGCTGTTCTGGTTCTCGGTGTTGCTGCCCTGGTTGTTGTCATCATCGGTGTTCTGGTTTTCCTTCGGGTTTGTGTTGGTGCTGACCCCACTGTTGCCCTGCTGCTGGTTGGTGCTGACCTGGTTGTTGGTGCTGCTGTTCTCCCCGTTCTTCTCGTTCTTGTTGTTGTCCCCGTCCTGGTTGGTGCCACCCTGGTTGGGGTCCTTGCTCTTGTCATTGGTGCCCTGATTCTGGCTGCTGGCGCTTTCATTCTGCTTGCCGTCGCCCTGGTTCTGGTTGCCACTGCCTCCTTGGTTCTGGCTGCTGGTGCTTTCGTTCTGGTTGCCATTGTTCTGGTTGCCACCATCTCCTTGGTTCTGGCTGCCGCTGCCGCCCTGGCCACCGGTGCTGCCGCCCTGGCCGTTGTCCTGGCTACCAGCGCCACCATTTTGTGTGTTGGTTGGGTTATTCGTGTTGCTGCTGTGGCCACCAGTGCCACCATTTTCCGTGTTGGTTGCGCTGTTCGTGTCACCGCTGCGGCCACCCTGGCCATTGTCATTCTGGGTGTTGCCTTGGCCAGTGCCACCCTGGCCGTTGTCCTGGCCACCAGTGCCACCATTTTCTGTGTTGGTTGCGCTGTTCGTGTCACCGCTGCGGCCACCCTGGCCATTGTCATTCTGGGTGTTGCCTTGGCCAGTGCCACCCTGGCCACCAGTGCCACTCTCTTGTTGGGGTGTGCTATTCGTGTCACCGCTGCGGCCACCCTGGGTGTTGCCTTGGCCAGTGCCACCCTGGGCACCCGCCTGCTGCCTCTCCCCACCACTGCCCTGCCCAGACGCACCCGCCTTCTCCTGACCCTGATCCGTCACCTCTCCGGTCCTCGTGTCCGACTGGGGGTGCTGTGGATCCGATGACGAGGGTGCACCTGCGCTCGATCCGGACGTATTCGGGTGCTGATCCGTTTGGGTTCCCTGGCTGTCACCTGCTCCCACCTGGGGAGATCCCCCTGCGCCTGCTGAAGTTCCTCCGGGGTTTGTTTGCTCTGGGTTCTGCCTCTCATGCTTCTCTGTCTCTTGGAGGGTT